CTCGTTCAATAATAAATATACTGAGTACTTTGTTTATTAAATTCGAAAGCAGTCTTTTGTGCTTGTGTGTAAAGTTGTGCAGAATGCAACCAGAGTGTTTTTTGTTTAATGTTTTAAAAGGAATATGATAATCTCAAGATGCTAAAACTGAATTCTTGCTCAGTTAATTATTGTATATAGGCATACAAACATGCACACACACGGACCATCGTTCATGGGCACTATTTCCAGTCTATCAGAGGGAAAAAAAAAATCCAGTTGCTTCATTAAAAAAAAAAAAAAACAGCCCAGAAGATGTACGCATGCTTCTAACGCACTTGTTGAGGACAAACACAGATTATTCACTACTTCTGTTATCAAAGGAGCTTCACATTGCAAATCCTCCATTTACAAATCACAGAACCTCAGCTTTACTTAATCTTGTCATGTTGTCACATTTGACTAGCCATGCGAACTGACCTAGAACTGCGAGCACGGGGAAGGCAGAGCTGTCACAGAGATAGTGACAAAGATGCCAGCGAGGGCTGCCAGTGTTTTCACTGGGTGAGAAAAAGGAATTAATCAAACTTCATGAAAGGAGAACAGAGGATAATCAAAGTGTTTACTGATTTTTATCAACTGATCCGATAGCTGAACATCTTTACCACACAACTACCGAGAGCAGTAAAAGCTGTAACAAATGGAATTCCATATAAGCAACTATTTACAGCAGCAGTAAACGCAAGTTTAAACTGCCAACATAAAGGACACTTGAATTTATAGAAGAAGTTTAATTCTGTGCATTAGTGCAACATTTCCTAGTCTTTCCAGAGCAAAAACTTCAGTATCTGCCATTTTTCACAGGGAACAGCAGTACAGCCTTAAATAAATACTGGCACAAAGACCTTACAGATGCTCCTTCATCTTCATTTTTTATTTGATTAGCGGAAGAGCAGAACATAATAATAAAAGCATCTCATAGAAAATGGTTATTTTCCCAGTCAAATTGCTTCATGAAATGAAGTCAAACCCATTGGCAGCAACACTAAAAGGGAAGAACCTCTCACAACTGAGCATATGTCTTCACACAGTAATTCTAACAGGGGAAAGGAAATACCTCTGAAGCTGCATTCTTCCAAAGCAGTTTGGATTATACTCGCTCAAAATTCTTTTGCAAGAGTTTGATGTGATCAGTATCTCCTACCAGACACACGAACAGGTCAATGAGATGGATACAAGTATGTACTGCAAAATTTTGACCGGTTAAAATTATTCACATAACACAGAAGAGGTAGGTTTGCCACAACAGGCACCGTAACCATTTTAAGCACTTCATCCAATACTGATTTGCTTTTAAATAAGTATCTCCATATTTACTACTGTTTAATAAATTACATTTGTGGCAGTGTTAGTGCTGACAGGTTAATGATGGTATAGAGGAAAATTGCAAAGATTGGAGCAATTGCATTTGTTAAAAATGGCCATGATTCTTTCTCTTCAAATATTTCAACAGTACAAACTCCAGTGTTTGTTTCTTTAAGCTGCCTGCTTGTATGCAACATCTTTCCTAGAGTTATAAAATTAAACCTTTCAGAATGTTTAATCTATTTTGGAGACTGTATCTTTCTCCAAGTGGAGGTCAATAACTTAATCTAAGACTGTCAACTTTTAAAGCTTTATAAAGCATTTCCTTTGCGTGCACACACAAACACACAATCCCTCCTCCTGGGGCTGATTCTGCTCAGAAATGTAAATAAACACAGTCACAATTGGACAGATGTTATATCCACTTCCACCATACTTCATTGTGAATTCAGGTTTATATACACACTTGCCTCTCTCTCTCTGTTATTCCAAAACCATTGCAAATACACTTGGGAGAAAAATAATATGAAGCATGCATCCACACTGGATTATTTTGTTTGTACATGGAGGTTGGATAACAGTTAAAAACTGGAAGAAGAGAGAGAGAGTAACATAAATCTAGAATAATGATTCTGTCTCATTTTTACACAAAAAACATAAAGTGTAATATGCAGGTACCTCCTAGAATGCACTTGGAAGAGACACTAAAAATATAGTTTCTTTACAAACTATGAATTTTGATCTAATAAAACCTAAAAGAAAAAAAAATAGATTGAGCACTGATTTGAAAAATCCACTAAAAATGCTAAAGATGAAAAATGAACAATGTTCTGCAACCAACATGTAAATAAACCGAGGGTTTATTTTAGGTCTCATTCTGATTTATCCAGACCTGACAGGGCAAGATGCCCATTGCCCCCCATCAGCCAAAAACCTCAGGATTAATTCTCCCCTAATGTAACTATTGTCAGAGATTTGCTAGAGGAAGGTCTTCAGAGATCCTTGTTAAAATTCCATCATCAGACTGCTAGGAGGTTTCTGATAGTTTCCCTGCCTCTGTTCTAGCTCAGATCTGTTTGCAAACCCTTTAATCATTCCTGCCAGAGAAGATCTATCCCAGAAGTGCAGAACTTCTCTTCTGAAGGGTAATTATTTTTAGCCTCAGAATGCGCTGGATGCAATCAGGAGTGAAATGCTTTTAAATTTCCCATGGAAGGACCCCTCTGGCAGACACCTGAAGAGGTTTTCCTTAGGTAATGTGCATTCAAGAATAGATACACATATTTAAATAGAAATGTGTATATGGACACGATGTCTGTTCATTAACACATTTATCTACTCAAGATTACTTTATTCCCAAATCAAATAAGATTATCGTGTGGCTGAGGGCTAAGTATCCTCTGGCAGGAATGATAAAGTATTAGGGAGAGAAGAGTGAATATTACCAGCAGAATCACCCAAGCCCTCCCATTTCCATTGGATGACAAATTTCCAACCAAAACTTTACTTGTTATATTACTATTTGAAGTCTACAAAGACACACATTCTTTACAAGGAAACAATACAAACATACATATACTCACATTTCAAACATTGAGCATATTATCAGTATCTTCACTTTATATCAATTCTACAAACACAGTCAAATTACTGCAATTGAGTTTAGGAGCACTAAAAAAAGCACTATAAAATCATACTGCAGCTGTTTTGCATGCATCTGAAAAACCACAGGAAGGTTAACTTTGGTTCTAAAGGTTTATGTAACTCTATATATGCTCCACGTATTAAAACAGAAAACATCAGATAATAAATTAGTTGCGAGTCAACTTACAGATTCAAAAGACCAAATTCAACTTTGGCAACTTGAATCCCAGGAATACGGGCCAGAGAGTTATTTTTTTATAAAGCCAAAAGTCCTTTAAATTCTATTACTAAAACTTTAGTATATTAGAAACAGCAGACACAGGCTTTCATTAGCTTTCCACTTCATATCTTATAGCAAAAAAAGGCACCTACAGTCACCTATGATGGATGTGTTTATCACATGGTCAAAAACATACCTAACAAAAATCCCTTATTGTTGAATCAATTCAACAGAGGTAATCAGCTGGTAAACTGAAAAGTTTTAATAAATATACACAGAGATCTATTTCCTTTTGTGTGAAGTTCACTGAATGTACTGATAAATAAGAGTGTCATATTTTTTACTGGAATTCCAGTACAGAATGTGTATAATGCAGTCTTGGGCACTTAAATTGTGCCTGAATTGAGGAGAAAAACCGTCTTTATTAGAGCAAAAATTATTGCTTAGAAGGGTTCACTCTGCAAAACAGGCCCCACAGACCCTACATCTTACTCAAGAATTCCAAGTATAAAAATTGCTAAAATAATTATATTTATTCTGATTTAGCAAGGCTTAGATTTACAAATTAATAGCCTTCCTACTAGAGCTCACTCCAATGAAGAGCTGAGCAGGAAGCTCAAGGGAAATAATGGAAGCCAAAATCCAAGTCTAGTGATGTCAAGAATGTGACAGGTATTGACTTCTCAAAATGTATTTTATTCATGATATAGGACTTGGAAAAACCCATGTTAAATCAGGTTTTTATTACAGAAGAACTTTTCAGATTACCACCAAAGCTGCTGTAGCTAGCATAGGCATTACTACAATTTTAGCATATTTTGGGTTTAGCTATGATTTGCTTTTTCATACATAAATGCTCTTTATTTGTTGCTATGTAGAACATTATGGCATAAACAGAAATCTCATCACCTTTCACTTATTTCTGCTAATATAAAAATCTATAAATAAACACTTCTTAACACCAACATTTTGTTTCACACTATATACCCTTTCATCCTTCAATATGAACAACTTCCATGAACTCGATTTTTTGCATAACATTATTGGCAGAATAAGTCCCATCACTATTACTATTTATATTGCCTTTTGATTTCTTATGTATAGCAATATAATACCATCCTTACCTGAATTAAGACTAAACTTGTTCAAACTCTATTGCTTAAAAGAGAGAAAATCCCTTGACATATTCAACATATTTACAAAATACCATTACCCTTTAAAGACATTATTCATTCTTCTGTACCCAAGGCTTACAACATGATAGTATATCAAGACTTTTTACTTACTAGAGAGCGATCCTCTGAAGGCACAGACCCTCTCTCCCACTATCTTATCCATAGGATAGACTTTGTGAGTGCTTTAGGGTCTGCTGTACCCTTGTGGGCATCATTTGCCCCCAAAGAGTTGAAAAGAAAATTGTTAAATCTAGAGCACTTACAATGTCCTACAAACATCTAAGCCTCTACTCTTTTCATCAGTTCTGTTTGGTTTGGCTTTTTGAAAGTCACAGTCTTGATTGCACTGCCCAGTAAGTTTTTATCAGAAGGTTTAACACATCCTTATGTACTAGGCCATATGATATTTAAACTGGACACAAAACACCAAAGTCAGCACAATAACCTAACAGCTTTTCTGTGGCAGAACCTATAGGCTGAAGCTACAAATTAATCAAACTATCCCAAAGATTTATAACTCTGGACTTTCCTATGCCTTGTCTTACGATTCAATGCAGCATGTGAAAAAGGATATTGAGACCTGGATGGATGCATCAAGAAGTATCAATGATTGTTACCTGCAGAGGTGTTACAAGAAATTTCATCTGCTGCAACGAAGACGAATTGATTTCTGCAAGAGAAGATAAAATTCACAATACTGCTTGCTGACTGGGAAATGTGCTAGCTGCCAATTGACTTGATGTTTACAGATGGGGTAGGGGAAGGGTGCTTAATTTTAATGAATGTAGCAAGAAAAAGTGTTGACGTATTTCAGTACTATAGAGTTCATAAGGATCATGAGGTAGACATGCTGGGATCTTTTAAATGAAATAATGGTGACATTTGGATATGGACTATGTACAAACTCTTGCATTGGAAGCTTCATGTTTAGTGTTACAGATATGTCAATATATTTATGAAGTCTAATAAAAATAAAACAATATATTGATATAGCTATTAAAGGGCACTACTGCAAAATATGTAAAAAGCGCTTTGGAAAAAAAAATTAAATTGCAATTTACTTTGTGCATCTGAAAGGAGGATATCAAAAGTAAAATATTTTGCTTTTTCTATGTCTAATATAACTGCAATCAGAAAATTAATTTTCTGCTATTTGTTAAAAAAAATGACATAGTATATTCTCATATACTGTCATCCAAATACATTGAAAAGTCTTTTGCAGAATCTTAGGAGAATAAGCTAGAGATATGAGTAATTTCATATAAACCTTCTCTTGCAAAATTCTTTTATAAACCAGGTAACATAAAAAGAGAAATGCTAAATACACTAATATTTCAAAATGCGGAAAACTTCCTTATGCCACAAATCCTGATTTGTCCTTTCCGAAGTCAAGGCAAACAGGATTTGGGTTAGTGGAAACCATGTTCAAGGATTAACATCGAATGATTCCTTTATATGCATATACACAGCTTCCTTGCAATGTTTTGGTGTTGTGCAGGATTAATAAAGAACCTGGGTGAAGTTTTAACACTTGGGTTCACAAGTTTTATTTGTTTTACTCCCAACTGCACAGAGCTCCTGCCTCCTGCACTGCCAGGCACATAGAGAAACTCCAACTCTCTGTTCTGCCCAGCTTTAAAATGCAAGAGCCTAATAAATAGGAGCCAGAAGGAACTAGGTCTGGCTAGTATTAAGAACTACCTGGAAAAACTTAGCTCTGCAAGCTTTAAGTACCCTGAGAATCCTACTGAAAACTATTTTGTTCAGGAGCAAACATCTCTTAGGGGTAACAAAGTCTTGAAGATTTAAACCCCAAGAGAACAAAATCTATTTTTATTACTTCACCTACAATGTATTAAAGAGAGCTGAAATTTTCATTTTGAAATCTGTGAACCTTGTTATTTAGAGGTTCACATTTTAGGGGAAAAAAACAAAACAAGGAATCTGCAATCTGTACTACAGGGACAGCACTGACTAAATCCAAAAGCAATATCTGATCACTGCCTCTGCCCTACCAGAGATACTTTTAGTGTGAACTTAGTGATCAAACTGAAGATTCTTTCATTTTCACCTGGATGTACAATTAGTAGTTTTACACTTTATTTTGTCATCTGCAACAGTTTCACAAGCTAATGAGATTTACCTTGCATGTAATACTAAAGACATGAATTAAAAAAAAAAAAAAAACAAAAACAAAGGGGGATCGATTTCACAATATAAATACAGAGCTACACTGTATTTCTTAGGTAGTATAATTTGTCACTGTATTTACTGCTATCACCTCTTGTGATAATTATATATAGAGAAAAAGTTAGAGGTTTGCCTAAAAGGGATTCAGCCAGTAGCAATGCAGACTTACCAGCTACTGTTGAACAGAAAACCCTTCTGATTAATTTCTACAAAGTTATTAAACTGCCCTCTCACCTAAATGAAAAAATCACTTCTCCTTAAAAACTATCTCTAAACAAGTTACTGAGAAACTCCTTTTTTTATCTCTGCTCAGAACAGTGGAATGAACACTGAGCCCCAGACTCTCTGTGTTCAGATGCCAAAGCACAGAATTATCTGCAAGGATAATATGCTGGGTTAGTACCTACAAAAAGAACCCAGAACACCCTGCAATTTGTCTTTTGGAATGGCAAACGTTATTGAAACTGCTCTGAAATCTTACTTTGTTTTAACCAACTCGTTAGTAATTGTCAGTAGAAAACTAATTAAAAAAAAGGAAGGAACCCAAAGTGATACCTATTTAAAAACCATCTACTATAAGCATTCCTTGTTACACTGCTTCCTAGGAAGATACTGTTTTCCCTGTGTTTTGATTTTGTAAAATTAATTTCACAACTCCATAAATAAGTTTTAAAAGTAGAAAGTTACATACTGGTCAGCATAGCATCTGTGAGAATGAAAAGACTAGATGCTGGAGTTTGATAAGCCAGTTCATTTTTATTTATAGAACTAATTAGGTGTTATTTGTAACAATTACAATAAATTTTTTAGAAGCTGGATGGCTTTAATGTTTTTATAGTGGCAGTTTTTTATTTAACTAAATTCTATACTACTGTTCACACAGACCTAGAGGGAGAACTGCTCATCAGAGGCAGCACTACACAAGTTTTCTTCCTAAGTGTGGACAACCCCAAAGTTTGCAAACGGAGTCCTTCAGAACAAAGTTGACACTCTGGTGCATCACATTCCATCTGCCTTAAAGCAGCTGGAAAGCAGACCTGGCAAAGGACACCTAACCCAGCTCAGCCCTTTGAAAATGTAGGGCTGTTCCCTTCAAAGACCAATTTTCTGCACTAACTATACTGAGTATACAAGGCTTAAAAATCTCACAAGGAAGAGATGATGAAAATTCATGACGTGTTTTAGGTCGGTTTAGTGTTCCTCATCACTGCTACACTTTTAATGATTCAAAAATGTACAAGAAATGTAAGTGGACCCAACTTTATTATACAATAAGCCCTGCTCTATTAAAATACAGAATCACTTTCATAATTTAAATTGTGTATTAACAGCAAAAGTACAGAACTAAATTTTTACTGCTCACTGGTTTATACTTCAGATGTAAAAGAACACGGATTTAAAAACTAGAAAACATTTTTTTTTTGTTTAAATAAAATTTTAAAAGTTGTTACTGGTTATAAGGGAGATTAACAGGAAAAAAAAAAATTGAAAGGATAACATGACTAACACGTTGATCTCAATGTACAATTGGATATATTCAGCCTGCTAGATACTCACACCCTGGGCTAAGTGCAATCCTTTTAAGTGCAGGACTGGCACCCTTTGGCAGTCTGAGCTCTCTGATGGAAACCCAGACAGTGTGGGTCATGAAAATGTGCTGCTGGGACTCCAAATGGCTGTGTTCCATCCCAGCAGCTACTTCCCAAGGGCAAACACTCTGCATACTATTGCTCCTCTCAAGCCTATATATCAATTCCTTATTTCTCCTAGCAAATTGAAAACTAATACGTTTTTTACCAGCATGGTAATAAAGATATTTCTAAAGTTTGAAAAAATAAATAAAATTTAAACACTTGATATGTTTCCTGAACTCAGACAAGAACAGAAGGAGAGGTCAACAAAAGTACTATTAAGTGATTTAGATGTGCTTTCTTCCTTTGGGGTAGTTATTGAACCTGCATTACACCATCTTCAGAAGGTCTGAATATGTTCTAATTTCCTCTGCTCCATTCCCTGTAGCCCCTTTGGCAGACTCCTAACAAATACTTGCCTCTGAGGCCCCACATCTGACATAAACCTCCCTGTTTTGGCACCTGCTCTTTCTCCCCAGCAGACCTTTTGCATATCCAATGCATTACGTGCTTTCTTTCTCTGTCCTTGATGCTGTGAGTTAGATGAAAACATGCCACACTGTAGCATAAAACAGGGTTTATTGTTTTTTCTGAAGCTCTTTAATCACTGGAGCCTGAGCCTTATCCTGGCTATGACTGTTTAATATACAAAACTACTTCTGTGAAGAAACCTCATGTGAATTTTTGCTTGTTGCTAAACTGCCCTAGAAAGATGCAAGCTGTGGTAGAATGGACAACAGCTTTAGGAGAGAAATCTCACTATGCTCTGTCAGCATTTCCAATCTTGGCATTATTTTTCACAGAGTAACTTCAAAGTAAAAAGAAGCATGATTTTCTACATGCATCTTTCTGTACTGCACTTTTTATTATAGAAGAGCTTTTATTACAAGATTCTTCATTAGCAAAGTTAGAGCTTATGCCCTCAGGAATGATCTTCAGTCATTATTAAACTAATATTTTGTATTGGGACAGGCATGGGGCTTGCACTATAAAACCAAGTATTGTTTGGAAGTTTTTCTGATGGCATGAGGTGGCCAGGAAAACTTCAGCTGTGAGAATCACACCCATACTCTGCAGCACCAAATTTAAAAGAGAATAACAAAATATTTTCAGGTTCAGCTTTATCACCTCACTAAAAGTAGCCTGTTCTAAATTAAAGCAGGTCACTGAATTAAAAGACTTGTATAATAGAGTATTAAACCAAAATATTTAAGCAGGTGAGGAACAGGAATTTAAGTGAAGCTCGACTGAAGTTTTTATTATATATACTATCTAGTGAAAAATATTACTAATAACAAATTACTTCAGTAAATGTTATGTACTCACAGAAATTAGGTCTTCTGGACTATCCAACTTTTTTTTTTAAAAATAAAAAAATACCATAACCTAATTTCTTCAGCCTGTTTATACTGCCACAAGTTTATTAAGAGGCCTAAGATGTTTCATAAATTTATTTTGTCAGTACTTTACTATAAAAATAGCACTTGCCCATTTTTCAAGAAGAGCTCTCTGTCACTGTCTTGCTTCACACAAGTCACATTAACTGTGCTGAAGTAGTACAGGAAAAACTTCCACACACTAATTCTAAAGCCTCCTGACCTGATACAGAAGCCACATGCATATCAACGCTGAAAGGAAGCTCAGATAAGGTCATATATGTGAAAATTAATAGAAACGTGCCAACAATTTGTAATTACTATTTGTAGCAATTACTATTTGGAATTACTAAAGCATTTTTAGCTTTTAGTTCTACAGGAATCTTTTATCTGTTTAGTCTTGACTCTCTTTTTAAATTGCTTTTAATCTACATATCCTGAGAGTTTCTAGTTTGAGGTACCTGCTATTCCAA